AACGCGTGAAGTCATTGTCCCAGAGATCAGTGATCGTAACATACCTGCACGAACTCAGAACTTTGCAGTCCGTTTAAAACTTCAGAATGATGCTCCACATGTCGGATCGTTGTGTTCCCGCTCCCGCAGACAAAGAGTTGACGAGATTACACAACTTGATTTAGACGGTATGTGTTTGGTTATTTTTAGATTATAGTTGTGACATCTACGGGTCACGCCGTGTATTTTAGTCAAAGTGCGGCTGCAGTTCTGACGGGTGGTTCTGATCGCTGCTGCAGTTGACTTTCGAGAAAAGGTTCATTTTTCACTGATCTGCTCATGTTGTCATTTTAACAAGGATCAAAAGTTAGTTTTTTTTTTCTTGTGCACAGTCAAAATGCAATCAAGTCCTCATCATAAAGCTCATTAACAAAATATATTATGCAACAACCTTTGTGCTGTGCACAGAGTTCTCTGAAAGAACCCGAATATTCCAATAAAACTAGACGAGAATCAGCATTGTTTATGGATACGCCATGCGAATCATGTGAAGGTGAGCTGCAGTACGAGAACAGCTGCTTTCAATAATCTAAGTCACGTGTTTATGAAGACGGAGCTCACAAAGGCTGCCGTGGCTGTGCTCCAAGTGTCACTGAACAGGATTAATTTATTTCATTAAAAACCGCTGAAGAAAAGGTTCTGAGCCCAAAATGTAGATTAGTTATGATCCTAAGAGAAATAACTCCGTTTTGAAGGTTTCAAACCCTGGAATGCTGACGCAACGAGCTTCAGTTAAAGCAGACGTAGGCAACTTAAGGCCCGAGGGCCAAAAGTGGCCCTTAGACAATCTCTGTCAGGCCCCCCAATATCCTTAAGTTTAATAAAAGATTATTTAAAACAAAACAAAACAAAAAAAGCAATTTATCAACAAGACTTAAGGAAATTGAAATTCAACATCTTATGCAAAACTTTACATGTTTTAAGTTGTTTCCACAACTAGACTGAACCACAAAAGACTTAGAAACATAAGCTTGTTTTGTACATTTCTGCTAATATGTATAACATGTTAAGCCAGCGTGTAATATAATGTCACAAGAGCCATTTTACAGAATATGTTTTGTGATCCTAAAGGATATTAGAAAGACTTGTTTTATAAATCATTCTAACCATAAGAAAAAGTCTGACGAAGGTCTTCTCGATTATCTGCCATATTTTCCCATTCTCTGCGGCCCTTTGATTGCTTTAAACGTCTTGATGTGGCCTTTTGGGAAAAAAATGTTGCCCACCTCTGAGTTAAAGGCTAAAGTTTATTTTAACAGAAACCAAAGGCAGCAAAATCTTACATGAAAAAAAGAGAAGACGTGGTGATGTTTACGAACACACAACGCTGGAGTGAAAACAGATGAACTGAGGAGACGACTGCAGCTGAGCCCTAATGGAACGGAGAACAGGTGTAGGTGCAGAGGAGAGGAACTGGCTGTGGAAATGTACTAGTTGCACAGGGAAACAAAAGTTCAGAACCAAACACAAGAATCAAAAAACAAAAATTAAAAATGTGATAAAACAAACTTAGCAAAACAACAAACAAACTACGAAAAATAATCAAAAAGACACAAATTATAACAATAAACAGGAGAGTCTCAGCTCTTCACGTACTAACAAAAACCATCCCTTGTGGTCTAGGCCAACAAATAATCTGATGACCCTCAGCAGGGAGGGGAGGGGAGGGAGAGGGATTTGCATGCACCTAAATGGACCACCTCACCAGAATTATTAAGCTTGGTATGCTGCAGATTTTAGTTTGGTATAAAACTCAGATGAAAAGTAAAAAGGTGAAAAACACAAAAAATGTTAATCTTTATAGAAATGTCTGCCCCATGTCTGTTAGAAGGATTTCCTATGATGTAGATAAATTCATTTATTTATGAGGTATTTTATGTAAATCACTTTACATAACTGATTTCTTACTAACCAAATACTAAATCATTATTATTATTATTGTCGCTTCCAATTATTTTTAATTGTTTCTTAACCATATCAGTGATTTTCTACTTACTGGGGTAAAAATTATATTATTAAAAACAATAAATGACGTGCAAATGAAATTACAAAAATACATTTTTATCCACATTTTGTCAGTTTTTTAAACCTTTACATTTTTGTCTTCGCTCTTATTGCTCGGTTAATTGTTTTGTATTAAATCATGTATTTTCTAAGAGAATAATCACTGCGCACATTCAGCTGAATACACCTTTGTCTTTAAAACTCCACTAATTTGAAGGTATTTTTTATTTATTTATTTTGTATTTTCCCAAAAGGTATTTAAAATCTAATTTCTTTTCCTGGTAAAAATGAAACAAATGCAAGTTATTTTAGCCAAAGTGTCATATCAGTTGTTGATTTTATGGAAATTAGCATAAGAATAATGTGTTTTTTTAACTGTGTTTTTATTTCAAGAGAGCATTTGCAATACTTTGACATTAAGGCTTTCTGTCAGAGTATGAAATCGATCTCGTCAGTCTATTCATAAAATTTAACATCTGAGTAAACTTCAACCAAACCTTGGCCATTACTGGCTTCACATAGTTGAGTGCTTTTTTGCATCCTTGAGGATTTTCTACATATTTGGGCAAAATATTTTCTCAAAACTAAACTCGTGTGTTCTGTTTAGAGTTTCCGCTCAGCTACGACAGGAGGGGTCATAAATTCTACAAGTAAATATTTAAATCAAGATCCGAGCTGTTTAAGTCTTGAGAAACTCCATGAACTCTGTGAGTTGAGAGTTTTAAAGCTCTCTAACGTTTCTGCATTGTGGGGGATTTTCTTACTCTAATTGTCTTAAACAGGTGAAATTAAAATAAATGTCAACAATGGTCTTTGAATTTGTTTATTATAATAAACAAACACACGTCACACAGGATGCTCCACACAGCCTGCGGAGGGCGTGTATGACAAAAAGTCCAACCCAGCTCGATAGCTGTCCTTGAAGGGACAAGAAAGACAAAAAAAATGGGTCAAACATTGTGCTCTGTGTTTTCTGATAACTGGGCTGATTGTGTACTCCTGTTCCATTTAGACAAGAACCAGTTAGACAACACCTATCAGTTATAAGTTGCATTGTTCTATTTAAAGTCATCGTTATTTCACAACACCCTGACGTCCATTTTATTTTTACACATAATATGAATTTTATATTTAAGGTAAAATATTATAATTCAGGTAAAATACAACCTTCTCTGTGACAGGATCAAACAAAGTCCTCAAAAACAACACTTCTAAGTTCTAAGTAAAGAACTTGTGCAATACTTGACCTTGAGTTTGATAACTTTGATAACAGTTTATCTGTTTTAAATTGTGCTCTACAAATAAAGATGACTTGACTTGACTTGACTTGAGTTGTGACCTTGACATCAAGGTGGCGTGATGATTACGCAACATACAGTACTATGTAGTGCTGGTACAAATTCATATCAAGTTTCAATAAATTATCTTGAGCGGATCAGAAGTTACGATCCAGAAAGGCCAAGAACTTGTTTTATTGTGACCTTGATTTGTGACCTTGACCTTGGTGCTGAGGTGATGAAAATTATATGTGTGAATACATGTCCCGTCCATAACTTTTGATTCCATCCATCCATTATCTTTTACCCGCTTCTTCCATTTTGGGTCACGGGGGTCACCGGTGTCCATGTCCAGCAATCACTGTTTGAGGGGCAGGGGACACCCTGGACAGGTCTCCAGTCCATCACAGGGACACATAGAGACAAACGAGACAAACGAGACAAACAACCATTCACTCTCTCACTCACACCTAGGGACAATTTAGAGTTACCAATCAGCCTAACATGCATGTTTTTGGTCTGTGGGAGGAAACCGGAGTACCCGGAGAAAACCCACGCATGCACGGAGAGAACATGCAAACTCCACCCAGAAAGACCCCTGGACCGGGATTTGAACCGGGGACCTGCTCGCTGAGAGGCAGCAGCTCTACCAGTTGCGCCACCGTGCTGCCCAACTTTTGATTCATTTAAGATATTTTAATAAAAGTCCACACATATGTAGCATTACCCTAAGGAGTGTTGCATACACTTTTCACCACCCCAGCTTCAAGACCAAGGTCACAAATCAAGGTCAAAGTTAAAACATACTCCCCCCCCCTCTCGTAACTTCTGATCCACTCAACATAATTTAACAAAAACTCACACATGCATAATTTTCAGACGGAGTGCCACATATACGCTTCATCATCCCAGCTTTCAAGGTCAAGGATGCAAATCAAGGTCATATATTTTACAAGGTCTTTACTTGTGCCACCCATAACTTCTGATCTGCTCAGTGTAATTTATCAAAACGTGATAGACATTTGTACCACCACTAGACAATCTTTCCACCACCCAGCTGTAAGGTCAAGGTCACAAATCAAGGTCAAGTGTTATACAAGGTCTTTACTTGTTTTGGCCATTGCTATAGATGGCTGTATGATAATTTGTCGACAGGCTGTCCTGTATGCAATACGCTTGTTACTCATACTCATCCATGTGGTCCTGACATGGTATGTAGAATAAAATCTTGGGGTGTATTTGAATTATAATTAAAAAAAAGTTCAAACTGTGCCAACCAAATAGAAGTTTCCCAAGTTATGGTATTTTGTTTTAACTCCAAAATTTTCCCCTAAATACACATAAACAGAAATCAAAAATAGTAAAAGTATAAACAAAGTCAGAAGTAAAAGTTTATGCCCAATTATAATCCCAGGTTAGAATTAACTGAACATTTTTGCATCCTGACTTTGCTGCGCTGCATTTCAAACTGGTTGTCTGTAGAGTTTACTGGACTTCAGTGGTTTATGACTATTAGTTTATTTTTTGGACACCTTGAACTAAAGTCCGAGCCAAACGTTTCACTAATCAGATTTTGGAGAAAAAAAAATAAGAGTGTTGGTGTGTGACTGGTTTTGTTTTTATTTCCTATAGCTGAGGCCAAACCAGTTGATGGTGGCCCAGTGAAAGAATGTTTAATAAAACCACTTTCGGGGCTGGAGACGATCGCTCCTCTTCTTCGTTCCGTGGAGGAAACTTCGGAGTCGATCGCCACCACGGTGCGAGGCACCATCCCCTCTTGGATCAGTGGTGTCTTCCTCCGTAACGGCCCGGGCAAGTTTGAGTTTGGCAACACGCAGTGAGTTGAAACCACCTCTGTATTCTGCTTTGTGGCTCCATGTTGTTTCCAGTCAGGAAGTCTTAGTGTCTGCATTTCAGCTACAACCACTGGTTTGATGGGATGGCCATGATGCACCAGTTCAAGATACGGAAGGGAAAGGTGACCTACATGAGCCGCTTCCTGCAGAGCAACGTCTACAGGAAGAACAGCGAACAGAACCGCATCGTGATATCTGAGTTTGGTACCCTGGCCGTGCCCGACCCGTGTAAAAACTTCTTCCAGAGATTCCTCTCCCGCTTTGAGACGATGGGTGAGTAAACTGAGCCTGACAGATCTGGCTATAGTGGGAACATGTAAGAGACAAGTGTTTAAGATAAGGGTTCATGTTTAAACTTTAAATAGAAAACAGATTTTATGATGCACTGCTATGAGTTTGGTTCCTGGAGAGAGAGAAAAAAGGAGTCTCTGAATAAATTAGTTTCCAGGGGAGGAAGGGAATAAATTATTTAGAGTCCAAACAGTTCTGTGTTCAGGCCGTGTACACTCTATCTGTGCCGAGGTTACATAATGTTGACACGTGGTGGAAAAACGAGCAGGGGCAAATGTTTCACAAACCTACACAACTTTACAAGCTATAAATGTATAACTGTTTCAAAACGATAAAGCATAAAATGTAAGTTGTTTAAAAAGTTGTTTCGTGCTGCAGAAGCCACGGACAACGCAAGTGTGAGCTTTGTGAAATACAAAGGAGACTACTTTGTCAGCACAGAGACTAATTTCATGCACAAAGTGGACTCAGACAACCTGGAGACATTGGAAAAGGTACTGACAAACTATTACTACTAATTATTATAAATATTGCTTATGCATAATAAAGTGTTTGTTTTGTTGTTCAGTGGGATTTTTTAAAACTTAAATAAATACATTTGAAAATAATGAGTGCTGTTTATCATACTTGCCGCCATACACGTTGCGCTGCCATATAAGTTGTATCAGTCCAAACATGTCTAATAAAGTGGAAAAAACATAAATAAGTCGCTTTGCTGTATAAGTCGCATCTATTATGCGTCACCGCTGACCACTCGGAAACGTGTGGTGTTGTGCCAGAAATCAATGGGCTGCCAAATGGCGGCCGCGGGAGCGTGCACGGAGGACTTTAACAAGAATTTAACAAGATTAACACTGAAAAACAATTATTTGTTTGCTTGACTTTTTTGTAAAGGTGTGTCTCAGTTGAGCTTTTCCTTAATAAATGCACTTTAATGGTCAAAGGTGGCTCTGTATGGCAAGCCAAGTGTCTCATTAGCCACTTTTACCTATTAATGAGGCACTTGGCTTGCCATATTGGTCGACTGCCCTCTAGTGGCTGAAGATGGTAGTGTTCAATATTTTCCATGTCAGAATGAATGAAATCATCAAATCTCAGTTAAAAATTGGGTTATAAATATGGGGGAAAACGTATATTAGTCACTTCGGTGTATAAGTCACAGGACTTGCAAATTTATGTAAAAAGGTGCAACATATACAGCGAAAAATACGATATCAATTCTGATTGGACAGGAGCTTAAACCCACCTGTGAAGAAACTAGTCTTTGTTCTTGGTTTAGATGCTCAGATCTATGAAGTAGACCTGAGCTGGGACCCTTCGAGTCCACTATGAAATGTTCTTTGATATCTGTTTGTTGCCAACAGTGCCCTATATGGCAGGCTATTGTAACATATAATCAAACTAAACCTATTATTACATTTATAGATGTCAACAATAGCACTCCTTCTGGTCCAAATGGCATTCACACATGTTAGAAATGAAACTAAAATCAAACTCTTCAAGTATGCTAGTGTAGATCCTCAGTCATCCAGGTTATAGTTTATGAAAATAAATAAAATAAAAACAAAATCTGGACTTTCTCTATTAAAAAAACTGGAGAGTGTGGATCTCCTGCAGTAAAGCTTGAAACTCCACACTTTACGTTTTCTTGAAATGGCAAAGCGCATAATGTTTTCAACTACAAACTGAAGGTATTATCAATGGGGGAAGTATTTTCCAGGAATTGAACGATTTATTTTACTGACAAGAATTTAATTTTGGATTTGATTTTGAGGAACCTGTCTGATAAATCAGTTTGAACAAAAACCCACCTTGTTCTTGTGTGTTTTGCAGGTTGACTGGAGCAAATTTGTTGCTGTAAATGGCGCCACTGCCCATCCACACTATGATCCAGATGGCACCGCCTACAATATGGGCAACTCCTATGGGAGAAAAGGTTAGGCATGTTGTCACAATAAAGATGGTTGGGACTGTCAGTAAACATCTGCCGGTGCTGGTTTATGTGTAACATCAGTTTAAATGTCTGTAAAAGCTCTTACAGTGGTAGTCTGTTTGTTCCAGGAGCTTTGTACAACATCATCAGAGTTCCCCCAGAGAAGACTGATACCAACGACACCCTGCAGGGAGCCAAAATCCTCTGTTCCATTGTGCCTGCAAACAAGTCCCATCCATCCTACTACCACAGCTTTGGTGCGCTTCTTCCACTTGGTATCACTGGTTCACTTGCTGTCATTTTATGTAATCTCACCCATTTTACACTTTTCCTTCTCATAGCCATGTCTGAGAATTATGTGGTGTTCATTGAGCAGCCGATTAAGTTGGACCTCCTAAAGATTGCCACTTGCAAACTTCGAGGGGAAGCTTTGAGCAAGGGCATCTACTGGGACCCAAAGCAGGAAACGGTCTTCCACTTAATTAACAAGCATACAGGCGAGGTGAGAGGCAGCCTGGGATAATCATTTAAACTCAAAACTTCATCCTTCTAGCTTGGTTTCCATGAAGACTCATGCGTTCTGTAATTCAGGTCATCCCAGTAAAATACCACACCAGAGCCCTCTCTACCTTCCATCAGATCAACGCCTTTGAGGAGGAGGGCTTCTTGATGGTTGATATGTGCTGCTCAGACTCTGGCCAAGCCATCAACAACTACATCATCCAGAATTTACGCAAGTCAGGGGAGGCGCTAGACCAAGTCAGTGTTATAAGTAACAAAAATATATACTGTTGAGCTTTAGTTTTAACATTAAAATGTCATTTGAGCATATTTTTGCCCTCAATTTGCTTTGAGTAAAGAGTTGTTGCCTTCTGTTTATGTGTTTGTGTTGCACTTTTCAAAACTCTGTTTTCATTGGAACCTAAACTGTAGAAAAACATCACTGTTCCCACCGTGTCCCTCCCAGGTGTACAACACGTCCGACAGGGTTTTCCCTCGCCGTTTCGTTCTGCCCCTAAATGTGACCAATGAGACCCCGACAGGTCAGAACCTGAACACCCGACCCTCCAGTAAAGCATCCTGTGTCAAAGTCAGCGCAGACAAGGTGAGTTAGAACCGAGCATCAGGACCTGTTTGGGTCGCAGAGCGAAAAGGAGACTTGGAAATACCCTCAGGCATTAGAAAGGTCACTATCAAAAATTGAGTCCCCATGTCAAAATCCAAGACATCCCCCACCCCCACCCACATGCATATACAGTATATAAATAATTTTATAATTTGAAGAAAAAACAACAACAACTATGCTTTCTATTTTTTATACTGAGTAAAGTTTTCTCAAATGATAGGGGTGGCCGAAATTTGATTTATAGGGGCCAGGGCCACCACTGACCACCACCCGGCTCCACCATTGTGCCTGGTGGTGGTATCATTAAGGAACTTATTCTGGATTCAGAATTCAGTCTTCAAGTTGTCATGGCAATAAAATCCAAAGTCATTGTGAAGTCAGAACTTAATTCAGAGAAATGAATAAACTCAATAATAACCAAAGGATTAATACAGATAAATGAATTATAACGGTGTCGAGGGAGTGTTTGTATTATGCACCATGCTCTATATTTTATGATAATATAGACTTTTTAACCTTTTCTGCTCCTTTACTGTTATTGAGAATGATATTAAATGTTTCCCTGATCTTCCCTCCATATTATAATAATTCTTGATGTCGTTAGTAGAGAGGTCATCTTTTATTATGTTGGAGACTTTTGAATGTTATGGTAGACACAGTAATTATTCCCCGTAAGAATCCTTGAGAAATGTTTACCTCCATCGGCTCCATGTGTGCAGCTTCCAGGTTCGGCTCTGAAACAGTCTGGGACAAGGCGAAGGGGAGGGACAGGCCCCTGATGAGTTCTCTACAAAACTAAAACCTTTTCAGTTCAGTAAGCCAGAACGGGTCAGAACCTCAGACACGTGAAGGCATTGATAAGTGTGCACTTATAAATGTATTGATCTTCTGTGATTGCTGGCTGTTCGCCAAAACTTTGGAATAAATAGGAAGAAGTTCACACCTGATCGTTTTGGGAATCTATTTTCCATGACAACAGCTTAATTAATATGTTTAGGTAGTTTATTTTGTAGTTAAATTGTGTTTATTTTACTTATTTTATACACTAATCATACAGTTGTGTATATAAATACTTTAAATCAAACCTTTATTTGGACTAATGTAAATAAAATACATAAAAGAAACAAACATGAAGACAAAGATGCTCATAATCCAAGATGAATACATAAAAAATAACCCAAAATAGGCTTATAATAGCCTACTCTTCTCACCAGTTATTTTACTTCTAACATTAAATGAAAATGACTGTTTTAAACACCTATATAAGAAAAAAAACACAGTGAAACAAAAGATAAGCTAAGGTTTTTATTATTTGTTTCAAACAACAATACATTATATCTTTCTGTTGCTTTATACATAACCTGTTAAATCTACAAAGTCTTGAAACTTTAACTTGACAAAAGGTGCATTTGGGGGGGGTCTTTTATAAGTTCCAAAACTGAATAGGTTTCAAGGTTCTTTATTGTCATTCACATCACATGTGGTACATGAGGTGGAATGAAATTGTGTACTCAAGGTCCCGGTTAGACCCAAAAATAGCAAAATATAAAGTATATAAAATAAACAGTATAGAAGGATCTACGATATATGCTAAACACTAATAATATAATAGTGTAATAAACATCAGCTTGAACATGAGTCTGTTATGAGCAGATGAGTGTAAATACAGCAGCTTAATGTAAGAAATCAGCAGCATGGATAAAGTGTCAAATCTCCAATTTAAGTGCCATTACAGTGATTTGTTTCTGGTTAGAGATTCATGAGTCATAACAGCTTCAGGGTAGAAGCTGTTCCTCAGTCTAGTGGTTCTGCACCTAATGCCCCACAATCTCCTTCCTGAGGGGAGTGGGGCAAAAAGTGTGAGTGCTGGGTGAGTGGGGTGCTTCATGATGCAGGTGGCCCTCTCCCTACATCTGGAGGTGTAGATGCTTGTGACGGTGGGGAGACTGAATCCGACAGTCTTCTGTGCAGCCTTCACCACTCTCTGCAAAGCTTTTCTTTCTGCAGCTGTGCAGCCTCCATGCCCCACGTTGATGCTGGAGCACAGGATGCTCTCCACTGCACACCTGTAGAAGGAGGTGAGGACTGAGCTTCCCAGACCAGCTCGTCTCAGCCGCCTGAGGAAGTAGAGTCTCTGATGAGCTTTCTTGATCAGGCTGGTGGTGTTGTTGCCCCAGCTGAGGTCGTTACTCAGGTGCACTTCCACTGCAGATCTCCTTATGAGCAGAGGGGTAGGTGTGTTTGCTCCTTCTGAAATCAACAATCATCTCCTTCGTCTTCTTCATATTGATGTGAAGGTTGTTCTTCCTGCACCAGCTCTTAAGGTGTTCCACCTCCTGCCTGTAACTGGACTAGTTGTTTGTGATGCATCCCACTACAGCTGTAGCATCTGCAAACTTTACAATACGGCAGCCTGGATGGGTAGGTGCACAGTCATATGTGAGCAGGAGGGGGCTCAACACACAGCCCTGAGGTGAGCCAGTGCAGAGAGATATGGTGGAGGAGGAGAAGTTGTTGATCCTCACAGACTGCAGCCTGTTGGTTAAGAAATCAAGGACCCAGTTGCAGAGGTTTGGCTTATTATGTATTTTGTTATAACTCCAAGCAAAAATCTATACATGAGAGTATCTCGTTAGCTTGAACTTAAGAACACAGTTTTTACACTAACACAAGAGAATTTTCTCTTGTTTAATTATATTAAAATAGAGAATAAAAGCTACTGTGGCAGCAAAAATAACTAGGTAACCAAAATCCATGGCTGAAAGCCAGACAGGGTATTGAACCATGATGATGGTCTGCAGTTTTTTTTATGCAGCTAAGAGAAGTAAGAGAGATAAAAATAAAAAAACAAACTGAACATGAAAAATAATAATGGGGCAAAAGGAGGGAGGCCAGCGTCATTGTTTGCATTGTTTACACATGTTTATTAATGTGTGAAGAACCAGTGCTCCTAAATGCCCCAGATTAATTAAAAAAATGACAGAAACTTCAGATAACAGCAAACACTCCTAATCCTTCTTTTGTCCACAGGTGTTCTGCCAGTTTGAGGATCTCCATGGAAACGACCTCTACGACTACGGCGGCCTGGAGTTCCCTCAGATCAACTACGGCAGAGTTAACGCTCGACCGTACCGGTACTTCTACGGCTGTGGCTTCAGACACCTGGTGGGAGACTCGCTGCTAAAGATGGACCTCAAGGACAAGACGCTCAAGGTGTTTGTCCACCTGTCTGTTAGCAAAATATCTCATGAATGATTTCACAGACTTTCCTGAAACATTTAGGAAATAATAAATTAATATATTTGATAAAACTTTGAAGCCAATCCAATTCAAGATGGCTGCCACAGTCAATTAACTTTAGCAAACACAAAAATTACTGTAATTAAAAAAAAACTGAAGATATTGCACTTAAATTTGGTGTGGAAGAGGAAGGGCGTTCTCATCACATACTCTGAGCATGAAACTGTGTATACAATTGTTTTTAACATTTGACAGAAAGAGCTAAAACTATATATTTTATGTTTTATTGCAGGTCTGGCACCAGAAGGGATTCTACCCATCAGAGCCCATGTTTGTGCCGTCGCCTGATGCTGCTGAGGAGGATGATGGTGTCATCCTGTCGGTGGTCCTCACCCCCTCACAGGTAGCAATCAGACTCAAAGTGGTTAAATTATTTGTAATTGTCGGCCACATCTGGAGATAAATCAGTCTCAGAAGTAGTCACACAAGCGTACAAGATTCACAAATGCACAAACATTTTTTTCAAATATACACATTTCAAATTGCACAAGTAGGTATCTCTGCTGGGCAGCACGGTGGCGCAACTGGTAGAGCTGCTGCCTCTCAGCGAGCAGGTCCCTGGTTCAAACCCCGGTCCAGGGGCCTTTCTGGGTGGAGTTTGCATGTTCTCTCTGTGCATGCGTGGGTTTTCACCGGGTACTCCGGTTTCCTCCCACAGACCAAAAACATGCATGTTAGACTGATTGGTAACTCTGAATTGTCCCTAGGTGTGAGTGAGAAAGTGAATGGTTGTTTGTCTCGTTTGTCTCTATGTGGCCCTGTGATGGACTTGCGACCTGTCCAGGGTATGCCCCGCCCCTCGCACAGTGATTGCTGGACATGGGCACGGCGACCCCCGTGACCCAAAATGGAACAAGCGGGTAAAGATAATGGATGGATGGATGGTTGGAAAATTATGTGCATACAAATGGTAAAATAAATGTGCACAAACTTTACCTTTTTTTCACCTTATGCGTACGGATCAGCTTGCCTGTCATTGTGACTTTTGAGACTTTCCTCTCCCTCCAGACTGACCTTTTACAGTTACTCCTGCGCATGCACAAAGGCAGTACTTCACAATGCATCCATCCATCCAGCACGTGGAGCCTGGTTTATGAATGCAGACTGACCTTTTTACAGGGACTAATGCTCACGCTTAAAAATGGACATCACGCCCCCAAACAGGATCCTAGCTTTTTTTCAGTCTGCTTTAGATTTACTGGGGGGAAAAGACACATTTCTGACTTAGCTAAAAAAACAACAAACAAACACATACCTTTTTAAGATTGACATAACTGGATTCCAAAGATCGTCCCCGACCCCGGATAAGCGGAAGAAAATGGATGGACGGATGGATGGATTCCAAAGATGTAATTTTGTGGACTGTATGGTTGAAATAAACAACCTAAAATGAGTAGATTATACTGCACGTGGAAAATCTATCAGGAAAATGTATGCGTTACCAGAAAAAAACAAAATCCCAGTAGGCCTACATTTTTCTGTAAGAATAACACTCATGTCGATGTTTATTTCAGTTGTACAATCCACTAAATTAACGTTTTTGTCTTGTGGGAAAAACTACCAGAAAACTATAATTTACAGCATTTGTTGTGTGGATTGTACATTTGAAACAAACTACTTTGGCAGCACGATGGCTCAGTGGTTAGCACTGTTGCCTCACAGCAAGAAGGTCCTGGGTTCAATCCCCGTTTGGACCTGGGGTCTTTCTGTGTGTAGTTTATGTTCTTCTCGTGCTTGTGTGTGTTTTCTCCGGGTATTCCGGAATCCTCCCACAGACCAAAAACATACATGTTAGTCTGCCTTCAGGCCCAGGCCTGCCTCGCAAAAGAGATCTGTGATCTCAGTGGGATTTGCCTGGTTAAATAAAGGTTAATAATAAATAAATACTCAAAATGGTTAGGCTATTCTTCCCCAGCAAAAGTACTAGAAATTTTATTTTGCTGGAAGTTATGCACGAGAAGAAATTTTTATTTTTGTGTTCTACAGCTGAAATAAACAAGCTAAACAGAGTAGGATGAGGTAGCTCGGTGTTACAGACTTTTTAGACTGAGGTTGCGAGTTCGAGCCCAGGTTGCATCAGGGAAGGCATACGGCGTAAAACAAAGTGCCAAATCTTTCATACGAGTTGTGGTGACCCCTGAAGAAGGGAGCAGCCAAAAGAAACACAACATTCTCCATGTAAAACGTTTATCAGAAAAAGAAACAAGGGGAAAATATACTTTCCCTGTGTGTTTTTCCCCGAGGCAGTCGATGTAGTTGTGCAGTCTGGGTATAAAGTGATGTTTTGTCCGTTGTTTGTATTTATGGGTTGGTTTTATTTTCAGTCACCAACTATCGAGTAATGTGTAAAATAACAGGAAAGGTGTATAATGCTCATTCATTCAGCCTGAGTGCATCCCCTTTAACAAAAAGGTGTCCACGCCTGGTGTCGTGCTTTCAGGTTAAAACTTGCAACCACTGCAGAGTCCTTTGACGTGCGACTGAATGGTCCTTTTATCGAAGACAACAGTGCTTTCTTTTGATTTTTGTTTTAGTGAAAGCTTGCAGATTTTGTTGTGCAGAAAGAAGCTTTACAAACCCTGATGCGTTTGTGTTTCCAAACGATTTCTCCGCAGGATAAAGGAACGTTCCTTCTTGTTTTGGATGCTAAAACATTCGAGGAGCTGGGAAGAGCCGATGTGCCCGTTAACATGCCTTATGGTTTCCATGGTGCCTTCACTGCCTCTGAATATTAATCCTGTTCAGATGTCCTCTGATGATCACATAAACCTGCTTTATGCTTTGAAAACCTTTAATCTTCGTCATACTCAGTTCGGCTAAGTCACATTTGCTTTATAAATTTAGAAAATGTTTATTTGTAGATTCACTTCAGTAACTGAATGATAGTTGCGCTCGTTTTTTTTTTTTTTCCCCACTCGAATGCATTTTATTCTCATTAAATACATTTTTGGGCTTTGATTTTATTATAAAACATTTAAAACCAAATTAAAGACTCCTCCGTTTAATGACTGTATGCTGAAATAAGTCACCAGAACAACTACCAGTATTTTAAAAGTTGTATTTTTTTACTGCACTTTTGTTGTTTGTAATTAATTTTATAACTTTCAATAAATTATTAGCACAACTGGAATTCTGTGATCATTTAATGTTTCAGGGAAGTTTTAACAAAAACCTAAAAGCACAGTTTGTATTTTAAACATTTTAGGACATTGTATTGACTTCATTTATTTCTGTAGCCTAACCAGACTAGTGATTTTTGGCAGTAAATGTTTACCCCAACTCGATTTGCACCTCAGCTTTACATCGAACCTCTAATCAGAAAATTAAGTTCTGTATTTGGACCAGGCTTTGGTTTTTTTACTCTGCAAGGACAACTGTACCCGAAAATGTTATCTAATTATTCCACAAAGCCTTAAAAGTTAACGTTTCCTTATACAGCACTTTCAAAAACATCCTTTTGGGGCGGCTGTGGCTGAGAGGTTCGAGCAGTCGTCCTCTAATGCGAGAGCTGGGGGTTCGAACCCACCAGCAGCCACATGCTGAAGTGTCCCTGGGCAAGACACTGAACCCCTCATTGCCTCTGATGTGTGTCCCATCAGTGTATGAATGTGACCTAAAGCACTGGTTAGTCTCTTTAGAATGATTTGTTCAATTAGCTTTTTTCTATATTTTTTCTGGTGTTCTGTTCCCTGTAGTTTCATTTAACATCAGTACTTCTGTTCAGCCCCGCCCCTCCCCTTCACACCTGTTCTGGTAATCATTAGTCTCACCTGATACCACTAATCAGTCCCAGTCCATTTAGTCCTCCAGCCCTCACTCATCTGCAGTCGGCCATTTTGATTTAGTGTCCAGTCTGGGTGTCCTCAATGGTTCTCAATGGTCTTTTGGTTGCTAAAGTTACTGCTAGGCTAGCCTTTTAGTTTATTTTTATATTTATTTTGTTATTGAATCTTTGAGTAAATATGCATCTTTGGATCTTACCTTCTACCAACCATAATAATAATAATAATAATAAAATATCAACAGAGCATACAAAACATAAAAACAAACTAGACAAATTATAATAAACATTCATCATTCATTCAGCCTTTATTTATACAGGTTAGTCTCATTGAGTCACGAGGACTCATTTACAAGAGAGACCTGTTCCAGACAGAACATATAAAGTACAGACAACAATAATAGTAAACAATGACAATAAACTACAGTAAAATGCAGTTAAAATAAGAGTAGTGTATAAAACAATAAACCAGGGTGCCATGAAACGGTGAAATACTAAAAACAAGAACATATCTGCCTTCAGAAAATAGGTTGAAAAACTTTTGACCACTACCGCTCTTGTGTTGACAATGTTGACTAGCTGTGGTGACAATCTGGAATTAGGTTGACTCCAAAAGTTAATTAGTTGTAGATAAATGGTAAATGGACTGTACTTATATAGCGCCTTTCTATCTTATTTCAAGACACTCAAAGCACTTTACACCACAATCTGTGTCCTTGTTTACCCATTCATACAGCACTCTACTAGATCTCTACAAAGCTAATTGAACAAATCATTCTAAAGAGACTAACCAGTGCTTTAGCTCACATTCATACACCGATGGGACACACATCAGAGGCTATGAGGGGTTCAGTGTTTTGCCCATGGACACTTTGACATGTGACTGCTGGTGGATTTGAACCCCCAACTCTCGCATTGGAGGACGACTGCTCTAACTACTCAGCCACAGCCCCCCGTAGATCAGAGAGTCAGTCAGAGATTCTTTATAGTCATTCGCACCTCATGTGTACACAGGGTCCCAGTTACATCCAACAATAAAATGTAAAAGAAAAACAATGATAACATCCAAGATATGAACTAAGAAAAACTAAATATACACTAAGCACTAATAGCATAAAAACATCACGTCGAACATCAGCACAAACCTGAACACGAGTCTGTGAACATGAACATAGATGTACATCAAGCAATGACCTTTTGAAAGTTTCATTAAAATCCATTCAGTGGTTCATGAGATATTTTCAATAGCGACAAACACTCAAGCAAAAGTATCCACTTTTTCCTCTGGTGGTGCAACAACAACAACAACAAACAAAAAAAACTTTTGGGAAATAAAAGTAAACTTGCATACATAATTTAAAGCCAGTGATGGAATAACAAGGTTTAATGAGATAGAAGAACCCTAAAAGTTAGAGCTCGTCTGATCACCTCTGTGGACCAGCCTGGGATTCAGAACAACAGAAAGTAAACAATCATTAGGTCTCACTGAGCTGCACATGAGACTAATGAGGCTACAGGTCAGACAAACACACAGGAGCCTGCACATTTAGTTCTTTTTTTGTCAACAGTTCAATGTCAAAACCAATTCCAAGATGAGCAGAAAGCCAAAGGGGAACAAGAACAGGAGATGCTGTGTGCTAACTTTTTTTGTATTGTGCAACAAACTGGATCAGCTGTTGTATAAACACATTAAACAGAGAAATACGTGATATGCACAATATCTGATGTCCCGTGACCAAAAATTAATTCTTTAACTGTCATGGAAAAAAAGTGATTTACGAACGATCAGGTGTAGTCTTCAAATTTAATAAAGGTTAAAGGTTTTTGGCACCATGCCAGTGGATAAACTGCTATTTACAAGAGCAAGAATGGATGGACCTAGAGTAGGAAAAACCTCCTTTAGTAGTTGAGGGGGGACCACATCAAAGGGGGAACCAGAAGGTTTCAAGCTGCACATGACCTGCTCTAGAGAAGATAGAGTGATGGGTTCAAAATGGTCAAATGGAGCTACAGATTGCGGTGGGATGGATGGGTCATGAGTTGGAGGGGAAATGAGAGCCCGGGTGGTCGCAATTTTTTCCACAAAGAAATGTAGGAAGTTCTCGCACAGCTCAGTCGAGGCTTCCAGAGGTGATGGTTCAGTGAGGTGGAGAACAGAGTTTAGGGTGGAGAAGAGGACACGTGGTTTGAGAGAGTTTGAGGTAATTATGTCAGAGAAGTATTTGGATTTAGCAGCTTTTACTACTTTCTGATAACGGCGCCAAATCTCTTTAAGTATTTGAAAAGAGACATGCAGCCTGTCTTTCCTCCATTTGCGCTCTGCCCTCCTACATTGCTGCCTAACGGCCTTGGTGACATCATTCAGCCAAGGTTCTGCTCTGAGTTTTGATTTTTTAGTTTTAACAGGAGCGACATAATCCAGAGTCTTTAAGCAGACAGAGTTGAACTGGATGTCAACTCCTCAGTGGTGGTGAGAAACACCAGGAGCTGAATTATCATTTCAGAGTTATAAACATCTGTGAAACGTGCGGCATTGAAGTGGTTAATGGCCCGGCTACTACGTGCAGGAATGCACGGCTTAGGAGTTAGATGGGGGAAGGTGAACTCAAACTGGACTGGCATGTGGTCTGAAAAAAACATTATCACCAATTTCAAGATTACTAACAGTCACATCACGTGTTAAAACAAGGTCCAGTGTATGTCCGCACTTTTGGGTTGGATGGTTTACATGCTGCGTTAGATTAAATGAGTCCAATAAATCTAAAAAGTCCTTAACCAAGGGCTTCTCCTGACAGCACACATGAATATTAAAGTCCCCAATAATGAAAACATGATTATGTTTTGGTGTGATTTCAGCCAAGAAGTCAGAAGACTCATTTATGAAGTCCTTAGATCGAGGTGGGCGGTAGACGAGTGCAAATAACGTCGCAGGCGAATGGCCGAGTTCAAAGACGCTCAGCTCAAAGCTGGCGCGGGAAACTGGGATGGGCAGTTGTTTACAGTCAAAAGTTGATTTGAATATTGTTAATTGTTAATAATCCACCACCGCGCCGGCCTGATGTCCGCGGTGCATTAAAATACAGACAGTTCGGTGGCAATAATTCCGTCAAGGCGCTGGACTCACCCGGAGACATCCAAGTCTCTGTGATGAAGAAAAAGTCCAACTCGTGCTCTTGAAAGTAGTCCCCGAGGATAAAAGTTTTGTTGGTAACAGATCTTGCGTTGACCAAACATCTGGATATTGTCCAAAGTGGAGCCAGCAGCGGTGGAGAGAGCGCGCGCCAGTGGCCGCAGATTTTCGATAACAGCCCCTCCAGGTCGGCCCGTGCACTGCACCGGCTGACAACTCCTGTTGTTTACCTGGTCCAGGCACACAGGAAGCTGGCGATGGAGACCACGACCGCCAGCTGGAGAGGAAGATGCAGCGCGTAGGGCTTTAAGCTTTACCAGATGCCCGGCGCGTTTCCCCCGGCGTCTGGAGAGATATCTTCGGGCAGGCAGGTGAGGAGCGCAGCGAAGGTAAACAGGCACGTCCGCCAGCAGCGGGGGAAGAGGGGGGGTTCAGCGGTACGCTCATAATGATCCAAATAAGCGACATCGGCTGCAGAAAAACGAAGATCCAGAAGCTGTTGTCGGTCATACACCAGCAGCGAGTTTATGTCCCAGATGAAAAACAAACAAAACACAAATAATCCGAACACCAGCAGCAGAGGTGGATTGCAAGCCATGTACACGGGCGCCATTTTACCGGAAGACATGATGCAGAGAAGGAAGGTAGATGTTTTGTGTCCAAGAGACCAAGTGGAAGGGCAACAAGGCTCGCAGCATTGGAGCAGGGTTCAAACTGTTTTACCATGGTGTGGATAGAAAAAGAAATGAGTAGGGGTGGTCCTGAAAGAGGAGTTGGCAAATAATGTAGTAGAGGTGAAAAGAGTGTCAGATAGGGTGATGTGCCTGAAGGTATAAGTAGAAGGTCTGATGCTAAACATCATCAGTGGTTATGCTGCACAGGTTGGATGGGA